GAGTGCTCTTCAAGGCCGAAGAGACCATGGAGCTCGAGAAGCTCCCTTCGGCTCCGATCCTGCAAGTACCGGAGCCAGACGACAGCAGCGCGGAGCAGCCGCATACTACGTCGCCCACCTGCCTGCAACCTTTGGCAGAGGATGCAATCAAGGCTGCAATGGACAAGTTGGAGACCTTCGTCCTGAACGCCACAGAAGCAGCCTTGAAGGGATCGAGGGCTGCAATAGAGAAGGCGCTGCAGGAGAAGTCGGCTCTCCTGATGCCCGGCTTTACAGAGCCAGGGTTAGCTCCGCAGGCAAGGGTTCGCCGGCCATCCTTGTACCAGGTGGTGGGCGACAGCATCTTCGAGAAGCGCCGAAGGGTCAGTGAAAAAGAGGTTCGGAAAGAGCAGGACTCTCCGACTCGGCCTACTACCCCCAAGCCCCGGCGGAGGAGCCGGATGGCTACAGGCTGCTTCAACAAACCGGGGGCCGGCAGCCCAGCGCGGGCTCTGCCTGCTTGGAGGCATCCCAGCAAGGATGGCAATGACAGCAACGGTGGCACAAGGGAGGGAAGTCCAGTTCGAGCTCCGAATGAACTGCATCTGCACAATTCGTCCGACAGGCCCAGAAACTGATTTTTCCTTGAGCCATCCTTAGTTATTGATAGAGTTTCCGATCCTGATTCAAGGAATATTTGGAGTCTCTGGGGAGTCGACAATTGCTAGACTGCTGTACCGCTCAACTGTGGTACAGCAGAAAACCAAGCGTCCCTCCATCGCGCATACTCCGTTAACATCTATCTCTATATCTATATGTATATGTATAGGGTTTAGGGCCGGGGCTGGACCACAAACTCTTCAGGTTGTCTTGGTCCCCATCGGATCAGTCATCGACGAACCGCGTTGAATCTTTTTTTTGCAGTTTCACCTCTGAGCTTCTAATCTTACCTTTCCAAACTCACTGCACTACACAACTGGGCTGAGCCCTTTAAATTCTGAAACGCATCCGTGCTTTGTTTACAGTGAGCCTGGAAATTCCGCACTTTGATTTCAGGTTTGGCGATGGGACAGAGATCCCAAACCCAGCCAGGGTTTCGGGTTTAGGCCTTAAGGCACTCCAGGGTTTAAGGGCAGTTAGGACTTGGACCAGCCAAGAGACGAGGATGCCTGATCTCGTTGCGGACACGTATGAATCCGTGCCAGCCGAGATCTCCCAGGACCTGAAACATCCTCCAAGCTCGGCTGTTTCTACAGTCTCCTTAGGAATTGTGTTTTCATTTTTGTTCATATAAAACCAAAGAGAGTATCAATTTGTTCTTATTTTGGTTCAAAGGGTGGTATAGGTTTTTGGGTTCTACATATGTCGGTCGTCGGAGTTCCCGGCGAGACTGTTGCAGCAGGTCCAGTGTTTGAAGCCTCAACTTGCAGTGCCGCCATGTAGTCAGCTACACGCCCAGCGGAAACCGCTTTCTGGACAGTTCGGCGAACAGAAAAGGAGTGTCAAAAAAAAACATCCTTCAAGTAAGCAAGTTCAAGGAACACTCATACCTCGAACCTTTAACTGCAAGCAGCGTATTCACCGTGGTTTACAGCATACAGAGGGGGGGGTTTAGGTGAGTTCCACCGAAATTCGCCAAAGGGGACGTAGAACAGATTCGGCGATTGTCAAGTCCAAAACATGTGATGGCACGGCTGCATGAACGGGAAGGGCACTAATGACTCACTCATCGGAGATTCTTCGGTTCTGGGCCTGGGGTGGGGACGTACGACTGCGCGTCCACGGCTTGCGGTTCTTGCATGGGATGAGACGTCTGAGTTTTCCCTTGTCAGCCAAGTGTCGCAGCAGCAAGTGAGCACCATGACTATTGCGTGTCACTTTGCCTGCTGGCCACGTGAGTGTCCGCTGATAGCTGCGCGGGCCATGTACCCTAAACCCATAAACCCATCTTGGGAGAGGGTTGTCAGTTCGCCGGGCCTTGAGGTTTAGCCTCAAAGCAGCCGTAGCCTCCAACCGACTTGAACGGCCTCTCCACATTGTTTTCCCTTGCGTAAACCCAAATGCCAGTCGACTGCTGCATCAAATCCTTTTGTTGTATTCGGCAAAGAAAGAGTTTCAGCCACCATGCATATTTCGTGTACACTTGCCTACACGCCTGTTCTACTGCTGTCATGCAAACGCACCGTAATTAGACGGTGGATGTGCGTTTCTACATCGTCGGGGAGCTTCTGACCAAGGAAGCACATCTTGGATTACTCTATAGCTCCAGTTACCTAATAGTAGGATACTGGGGTGCATAATATATGGTTAGTATAGCCTACGTTTTAGATAACTGGAGCCCTAGGGCAATGTCGAATCGAACGGCCTGCGTAAACCCGACATACACCTTGGCGAATGGATTCCACGCACGTTTTCGCTAGTCTGAACCATCAGCCTCCTGAACAGGCCCGATCAGGCTCATCCCCAGTCCCAGTGCTGCATGTTGGAGGGTGGCAGTGGTTAGTGTGTTTTGAGGAGATTTGTGTTGCCGGTCAGCGTAAGATCGGTATCTGCCGATTTGCCAAGGCCCGTCAGTGAGACATTGACCTCAGGCGCAGGGCGGTTGGGATTTGCTCCGAAACCTCGAATTGCGCGTGAAGCGCGAGTAGTAGCAGGCCGGTCAATCCCCTTCGAATCTCTCAGCCTTGTCAACTTCTCACAAGCATCAGAAATTATGGTGTCGATGTGCTTTTTAAGCTTTAACCAGCACTTATTGAAGAAGCAAGCATGCATGCGACTTGGAGGATATGCCTCCTGCACGGGCACCTCCATCCTCATCGTAGCCTGCTCCTCTGAGGGCTTGCAGGGCAGTTGGCGCAGGCGATTGTGAAGTTTTTGCTTCTGCCACTTCAGAGTCATTTCCAGTTCCTTGGTCCGAAAGCTTTCAGACCCAAATACCGTGTCTTCGGAAGCCCTTCGAAGTCACCGTCTTGGATCTTTTGGACTGGGAGGCTGCCGCCTGCAACACAGCACATGTTGAACTTCATGCACGTCTCGGTGTCTGTGCGTGTGTACATATCTGCTTTTCTATAATCACGCGTGTCGTGCGATGTTCGAGTCGTTTGTACTTGGGTGTGTCTTGCATTTCCTTCGCTCCTGCTCGACTTTTCAACATCGGGTTTGAATGCCTAAAGCCCTGAGCTTACATGACTCGTGCCCGAAAAGCTCCTAGAGGTCCTAGCATGTGATGTCAAGCGATGTACCCACTCCCCAATCCCCGAGCCGCAACACAATGTCGTATTCTCGAAGATGGCTTAACCAAACAAGGACGATGGTGCGAATTCGGTTTCTGCTGCCGAGCCTCGAGCTCCCGCTTTCGAGAAGTTTTTGATGCGAGAGCTCCGACAAGCAGCGTGAAGCGAAGATACACTGTACATCAGAGATCCTCACATGTAGCCACACCTTTAGGGTCCGAGATCAGATGTGACGGTCCGAACCTGAATGGCCTGCCTGCAATACGAGGATGGCCTTCGTGCTGTCGGCATTCCGGCACGCATCGTGGGGGCCCAAGTCATCTATCCGTCGCAAAGGGAAAATGCTATACTATACTCGATGTGGAGCCTATTGGCTATTGTCCTTTCCGCGGTCACAAGCCAGCGAGCCCCATGTGAAGCTTGCCCTCAAGGGCTACGGCTCCAGTCAGACACAACGACACGAAGCACGGGTGTGAGTGCTTCGCACCTTCGCGTTGGTTTGTTTAAGGATCTGCTTGTAGCATTTACTTCTTCCAGGGGTCGCTACCGCAAGAGGAGTCACTCCGCATGCATGTAGCCTACTGGTTGCAGCAAATCTTCAGCTGCAGTGCCTTTTGTCTTTTCCATATCTTTGGAGTGTCTTTTGCACTCAAGGCCGGCACGCCACAGTGGAATGCCAGAGCCTCGGGGAAGACTCTTGCTTCCCAAAAGTTGCCGCTCACGGAATCTGCCTGAATTGCCCAGCCAGATTGCGGCTGAAATCTGATAATTCCGGCGCGGCAGAAGCATTCCCACCGAACGAATCTTCTCTGCGAGCCTCAAACAGACCGAGCTTGAGCACTGTCTGAAGCGGAAACAGGCTTGCGGTTTCAGCAGCTCAGAAACTCGGCTCCCGCTTCTTGGGTTGAACCGGGGCGACGATCTGCAGCCTCGTACGGTTCAGGGGTTTAGGGTTTAAGGTGTGCAGACAGTGGGTCGTAGACTGGTTAGACTTCGGTCCAGTGGCAGAAAGGGTGTGCAGACAGTTTCGACTCGAGAGCGATTTGACCCCACACTCACTGCCGATGAACAGCCCAAACCTGCGCGAACTACCAACCCGTACAGCACTCAGATCCCCACGGGGGGCAACCACAATTGGGTGGAAGTCTGGTTCCGGCCTCAGCCGGCTGCAGAGTCTGGTTGTCAGCAGTGTGGTTATTGCTTTCATTGCTAGTATTTTTCAGTGTAGTAGCTTGAATATTTGCCAATATGTGCCAATGGGCCACAAAAGCTTGTCTAATAACTGAGGCCCTCGTATTGCTGGCAGACGTTTCCCAGTGTCGGTAAACTTCTTGAGGTTTTGTGGTTCGCGGGTGGCGCTACTCACTCCATACCCTGACGGGTGAGGTTCCGTCGCAAACACATTCGTATCACTAGTGCCCCAAGATCTTGCCATTTGGGTTGTGCCACTCTTCAAACATCGCTTCTTCTGGCCATCCTTGACTCTGGCATTCCGTGCCAATGGCCTTGGCTCGCGTTTGATCTGTGTCACCCAAGTAATGCTCAACACTTTATGCACCTACTCTATCCTTAGAATATGCCTGGTGAGACTCTCGGGTTCCACACACATGTCATGAAGTATGCAGATGACTTTCAGATTATCGTTTCTGTGGTTCTTTCTGCACAGCACCAAACATCCATGTTCGTTTTGTGCATTTGTTCCACCCAGCGGGCTGAATTGCATAAGTCGGCACGTCGGCAACACTATGCTCCCACGATGCAGCTGTGAGGCACACCTGGCCACGTGCATTTGCACGGTGGCAAGCAGCTGTTGCTTCTGTGAATGTTGATAGGAACTAATTAAGCCACGCCGGGTTTTGAGACCGGCAAGTGGAGAAACCATCCGGAAGTTCTCTTAGCGGTCCCGTCAGAGATGAACAGACGAGTTAGAGGAATCCGTAGAGCACGGGGTCGTTCATGGGGATTCAGACGGCCCATCTGGCAGGACAGGCGATGGATGGCATTTCTTTGACGCGCCGAGCTTGGAATCGGGTCCTCACATACAAGTTCAGCTTTCGAGAGCATGCAAAAGTGTCGTGCGGCGGACCAACACCCGAAGTTCAAGCTTCGATTCCTTTATATAGCAGACGTGAAAATTCATAACTGCCAGCGGGTGAAACATGAAAGGTTCGGAATGCAGGGGGTGGGCAGAGTTCAAGGGTTATGGTGTCTCAAATGACGAAGACTTGCCAAGGTTTGCTCTAGGACATTAGCGCTTTTGTTGTTATTGAAGACAGGGCTTCACCAGCCAAGTGCCCACTTTCAAGGGAAGTGGCTTTACAACCCTGTCTTGACTCCGTCAAGTGTAAAGGAGGGATCGGTCAATTTAGCTGAATGTGTTGCTTCGGATCCCCACAGAGCCCTGACTGAAGTTGTGCTCATGCATCCCACGCTAGTCGATTGAGCATGTGGAGAGCTTTCACACATATGATGCTAGTAGGATGAGCTGCGCAGGCCCGATCGTCACAGACTAGAATGGTACATGGACTCTTCGAGGTGCTTATTGCTTGGGCCCTCGAAGCTGGACTTAGCTTAGCGGAAGGCTTCACAGACATCCAGCTGCGATGACGTACCTCGTTTGTTCTTTCAAGACATAAGATCTTGGGGCATCTTGCGACTGCCCTGCACAGTTTCGTCTGGAACGGATGATTTGAATTTTGCGACCCCTGCACATGGTATCTCTCATCCCCCCCGAACATGTACTGTTGCGCTGCGCTGCCTTGCCAAATGCGAGCCTTTCGATGGGTGCTGTAGTTCGAGGCTCAGCCAAGCGTCACCCTGGACCAGGCTTCGCACAAAATCGGGGCCTCTGATCAGTGCTGCCATTGATGGCCGGTTTGTGAGGTCAGGCTTTGCCATTGTCACTACACTACACTTCCTCCGGGAAAGGCTTCCTCTACTTTGTGAAGGGTAATTAGAGTCCGGCAATTGGGCTTGCGTCTCCACGTGTCGTGTAGTCGAGGGAGGCTGTTTCCGAAGCACACTTGGTCCCTCAGCCAGAACTCTGCAGTCGTCCATGCCGCAACAAACGACGGTTTCGCAGGTCACAGGTGATGACGATTACATATCCCAACTGAGAACCATCAAGTGCGGCAGCATTGAGCCAAAGCAGATGGCTCCAACAATTCGACGAATTGCCCACAGGCCTGGTTCGTGCCCGGCAACACCAAACATGCGACAGAGGCCAGCGTCGAGCACGTCGGAAATTGGTGAGGGGTTAGGACGAAGGGTTCACGGCAGGTGAGTCGAGCACGAGGCTTCCATGTTGCTTGTTCTGGTTACATTTCGTGCGACGAACGGTCTGATAAGTTTGCTGCGGGTCGGATTGCATGACAAGGTGCGAAGCATCAAGTACCCCATATTTCTACTCTGGCCTGTAACAGGGCTGGCGTACTGTTGCGATTGCCCACATGTTCCCAGAACCACCACCCCCTCCGTGCTCGGGCCTTCCCAAAGACCTAAACCCTATACCCGAAACCCTATACCCTGAACCCGAAACCCTAAACCCGAAACCCTATGTGGAGCATTGCCTGCCTTGTGCGAGTGTGAGCGCCGAAACCCGAAACCCAAAGGAACCGATACACGCGATTTACGCTGCGGAGTGGAAGACCGGGGCCTTGCTCTCGGCCATGCAGGGATGGGCTTTGTTGGTCTTTGGTAAGGTTTAAACAAATAGCCTAGTACAGTTGTAAAATATAGTGTTATTACACAATTAGAGTATGCTCGAATGTTATAAAATCAAACTGTTATATGGCTTTCAAGTAGCCACGATGTCAGAAAACGGCGTCAATCTCGGCCACATCCCTAACGATGCTCTATGTCGTAAAGTGGTAGGTCGCATCTTGTACTTGCAGTCCGTACAGGCTCGTACAGTGTGCATAGGCTGGACACCAAGGCCAGGGACGACAACACGTGTCCCGGTTTAGAAGCCTGATCACTTTGTGCATTGGTTGCTGAGGTGGTGCTAAGCTTGGTCTTATTGAGTGCACGAAGATGACAAATGGAAGCTCGCTTCGGCATTCCTTTCCAACCCGGGATGGCTCTCTTGTTGCGAAGCTGAGAGCCAGTGAGTCAATGAGTGAGATCCAGTGGTGCACTAGGTTGGTCCTGTTCTTATAACTGTTTTCATGTCGGAGGTGTCTGGTCTTAAGCTGTTGTATGTCCGTCCGGAAGGTCCAGCCGAATGGAATGACGACTGAAACTGAGCCGCTAAATGAACTGCTAATCTGCTCTCCCCGAACTATCTTCGCTCGCCCCGGTTTAGGATTTGGGCTTTCCAGGCGGGCATATACAAGTCTGTGCAAAAAATGTTTGGGCTTTTAGGTTTAGGGTTTAGGGTTTGGGCTTTTAGGTTTAGGGGGTGGGGTTTATGGTTTAGGGCTTGATGCAAGGATCTGGCTAGCCCCAAGCCCAGTGGCAAAAGAAGGCTTTGATTGTTCGGCATGCTTCAGCAGAGAAGGCAGGGGTGCGTCCTGGGTAGAGCCAATTAGGATTAGTTTCTATTAACTTTCAACTCTCTTCCTGCCTGGACGCATGCAGCAGACGTCGGGACCTGGAGGTTTTCAACAACCAGTATAGGGAACATCATCATTGAGGTCCTTCCGTCACTATGTGCTGTGCAAGTGGCATATGTGCAGAAGCATTTCGGCAGGCATTGAAGTTCACCCAGAAGCACCGTAAGCGTAATTACGCCTCATTCCAACCTTTTTGGGCTCAACTTCGGGCTGACGTCTGAAAGCCTTGCAGTCGAAAAGAAGCTTTCAGAGTTGAAGGATGCGGACTACCCCCTCACCTGGCGCGACCCCGTGGTGAAATGGCGGGCGGAGGACCGCAAAGAAGGAGGTAGAGTTGCTTGTTGGTTGGTGTTGGGGGTGTTGGGATGTAGACTCTCCTACCTATGGCGAGCCAATACAGGTCTTTGTGGATCAGAGTACTTATTTCGGTCATGCACTTCCGCTGTTGATGCTTCGTTTGCGGCTTGCGCTTTCAACTGTGTTTGTGCACCACCGCCGCCACTTAGCTGGATCAGCTTAGCAAGATGCCTTGCATCGGCCAGGCCTTGCGAGGGCCCATGCTCTCACAGACCCGACGGCACCAAAGGGTGCGCCAGGCCGCCGTCGCTACCGCGGCTTGCCTTTTAGGTGTACGCCTGGCACCCTTCACCTTTGCTTTCGCTGGCTCCTGGCCCAAGCCACAGCGCCAGTGGACCCGGCGGTACGCAGAGACCGCAACAGCTCCTTACCGGGTACTGGTGCCCATCGCAGAAGACTCCGAGGTCCGTGGGGCGGAAAGGGGGTTCCGAGTGTCCTATAGTTTAAAGCCTACAAAAGACTCGTTGTCGGAGCTCTTGTGCAGCCACAAGAACGAGAGCTTGGGAGGCGTTTTGCATGAAAACGCACCAGAGTAATATTCACTACAACTATACCGTGAATATATATTGGAGCATACTGTAAGATCTAGTATACAAGTATAATAGTATGAGGAAATCGAGACGGCCTGCATCACCGACGTACTCACCCGAGCTGGAGCTGATGTGACTGTGGCGAGTGTCAGTGGCGCGCTTCAGGTGCGCATGTCTAGGGGACTGCGATTCAGTTGCAGAAGAGGGTGAACATGACAAGGCTTTTCAAAACCTTCTTCTGAGGATGATGAAGATATCAGGCTTTGCTGGCCTTTTGAGGGCTCCCCTTATTGTGTTTTCGTTAGAGTCCTTGAAAAGGGTAGGTTTGGGGTCCAGGTGAACCAAGCCAATCTCCGGCTTGGAGCCGACAAGCCAAGGAAGGTGGTCGCCGACACGAGCATCGAGGAGTGTGCAGTTTCTTGGATCTTTATCTTCGAGACTATGGAACCCCGCTGAAGCAACACCCGCAAACGCCAGGTGAGTCAATCTTGGGCTTACAGTGTGTTGAGGGTCATGTTCGGGGTCACCCAACTTCGGATCACGTGGCTTCGGACCGAATTTCGAAGCTCCAAACCGGAACACCGGGAAGTTGAAGATCTTGTGCACGAGGGGACCTTCGTCCGACAGCCGCATCGTAGCCCACCGAAGCCCCACAGCCTCGCTCCTGAGGACCAGCAGTGGGATGTGATCGCCCTTCCAGGTTCCCACAAGCTCGGGCTCGGGGGATGCGTTCTGACAGCTAGATGATGTCTGTGCAGGGCCTTTGGATGTTTTACGCAAGGCTTCTGCCCGAAGCCTTTTCCGGAATCTGGGTATCTGAGCTCCAATTACTCGATTTGGGCTGTCGAGGCTCAGGTTTTTCACTATTCGCTTGGGGTTGTTTCGTCAAAGGAGCCGAGAGTGATGAGAGAGTTATCGGAGTTTCAAAAGGGAACAGGCGACGCTACACCTTGTAGTCGTGGCCGGACATTCTCTTCGCAACATCTACGAACCTCCAATCTTAATCTGTAATCCCCAAAGACCGAAGATAAGGCTCCAAAACCCGAGGGCAGGATAGTCAGCCGCAGGCAGTGAATGTGCGAAGGCATCTGACAGGTGGAACTAGCTTGACCCTGTCGGATTGACCCAGGCCACTGTTAAGGTTGGGCTTTGGTCAGGGCTTAGGCGGCGACCGAGGAAGGAAACACTGCCGGTGGAGAACTCCGTAAAGATGTCGTCAGCCTGCACATGTTCAACTGGTGTCAGTGTTTGTGCCCGAGTGTAGCTACTGGGCAAGTTCACAAGGTGCGAAACTTTGGCGTCACTTCCGTACTCTGGAGCCCAGCCCGTTTTGTCCCAGATGTGAGAGTCGAAAACCCAAGCCGTTAAGCCCTAAACTGTTGTTCTTCGTCGTACCATGCCTCTGGGAGAATCTGAGTAAGAGTGTCAACACCCCAAGACGTGAACGCCTATAACGAAGCAGCGCAGGTGGTATGCCAGGAGCGGAACATTTGCGCGACTCGCAGGTTCTGGTGGACTTGCTCAAGGCCATCTTGGTGGCTTGCAGGGCCTACAGAGGTGTTGCGCTTCGTGAGACTTGGGGGTCCCGTTCGAGCTGGCTGGAGGGAGTTCAGAGAGCTTCCTTGGCTGCTTCGAATTTTACCAGATACTTGTAGCATAGGCTTAGCTTACGGGTGTCTAGCTGTGCAGGAAGGCAGAAGAGACGCTCTTGCAGCGATTCTCTAGACGTTTTGCATGACCTCGATGAGTAGTGTCTTTGTATGTCTTGACCATCAACACCATCAATAGCACTGTGGAAGAGCAAGCTGCCATGCACCTGTAGGAGTTTGCAATGAGCACTCCAGGTGTTCTCCCGGTGTGGTTGCACCATGTACTTCTACATCGAATTCCCGAGCTCCTCTCTCTAGTCCATGTTGCAGACCCGCCCCCCCCCAAAAAAAAAAAACAGTGTCCTTTGCTCCAAGCGAGGCGCAGAAAGAGAGCGGCCGGCTCACGGCGGCCGTTTGTGCCAGTCCAGCCGTGGTCTTTGCCCACCATGGGCTTGTGAAGGATGCGGCCACCTGTGCCCCGGCTTTCCTTCTAGCGATTGGTTGAGCCAGGATTCTTTCAGTTCGGGCGATTTATTATACAGCCGAAGAAAGAAAGCCTCAAGTCACATCGAGGTTATCCAGCACCGCAGTTCAAGGAACTGGTAGGCGCTGGTTGGCAGGATGCTAAGGCGCGTGGGAAGGGTTTCAAACGGATTGCAGCTTTTCTGCATAATCTGAAGACTCTGGACTTGGCCGTCTGTGTTTGGGTTTTCATGGAGGGGGAGAGCTTCTGCTGGGCCTGGGGATTTCTGCCGAGGGTTGGCCGGGACTGCGGAAAGGGAGTTTGGTATGGGCCTTAGTAGTTACCCGCATTATTTTGGGGGTTCAGTTCCTGATTATAATTGCCTTGGGTAGTTATAAGTAGGGTTATTATAAGTTTCCTAATAGGTTTTTTAGTATAGTTACCCTAAGTTCCTTATTCTAATTATAGTACAATAAGCACCGAAGCCCTGGGATTCCAGCACCAGCTTTGGAGGTCCAGGATGACGGCCACGAGGTGATGTGGTGTCAGATGTTGCGATTTCGTGGTGGAGCCTCCAGATCTTTTTTGGCAGAACTCCGCGAGCAGCACTAATACCGTTCAGGAGGTCGCAGGTGGCCCCCAATCCCACAACCTAAAACCCTAAACCTTAAACCCTAAACCCTAAACCTTAAACCCTAAACCCTAAACTCCAGCAGGCCGTGGTGGATGGCAACGTCATTACCAGTCAAGGTCCTGGGACTTCGCCTCTTGGCAAATGGGAGTTTCCGAAAATTAGGGGTACCGTATTTTGGGGTCACTATTTAGGGTACTCTATATATATATATATATATATGTGGATATATATATATATATATGTATATACATATATATATATATATATATATATGTATCAGGGTCCCCTTTTTTGAATAAACAGCCCCAAATCTTGGAGGCCATGCACTTCAACCATGATTACAAGTTTTTGTGCAGCCAGTGCTTGGTCGAACGGTGTCCGCTGATGAGTGCAACTGCATGAGTTGTACCCCTATAGAAAGTATGGTAGTGACCCTGACAGAAACCTTACAGTTGATTTCAGCTGCTCGACCCATTCTAGGATGGGCAAACTAAGAAAGCCATACATGTTGCAATGCTGTTCCCTGCAAACCCTCGTCATGAACCTTCACCAGCGCCCGTCGTTCTAAAGGTGATCATGTCATGATAACGGCGTCAGGCTTACTGTCCGGTCCAAATTCAGCTGTTTTCGTTGTGCGCTTCCTGGACCCCGACGCTTGAATTTTCAACTGCCTGTCGCCAAATCACTCGTGTAGGCGGTGGAAATTCTCAGCCAGGTTCGGGTGCATTCAGAGCCTCCATGTGTGCACCTGCAAGCGTCACTGACGTTAAGCTCCGTGCCGATAGAGGGTACATCTTTGAACCATTGCATCTACTATGTTCGTGTGTTCCCGAATCAGCGAATGAAAGGCTGCAGTTTGCGCTGAAGATTGTGGAGCAGCTCTATGGCAAAGACAAAGCCGAGGAGACCGCCGGTACTTGACGAAAAGCTACAAAGGAGAGTTTGGCTGTTCAGGTTTATGAAGGCAAGGAACCCTTGAGTTTGGGTACAATATGTACTTAACCTTAAATCTCAAACCCAAACCCTGACAGAACTCCTGGCTCAGAGTTTTGCTTGATCACTGGTGCTTAGGTGGCAGTACTGAACTTGGCATTCCGCTGGAGGATCTACTAGTTCCAGACATGTCCTATGTATACATATACTCGTACATTCATACAAAAAACGCATAGTGTAGCCAGACGTCAGTATGCATGCGTAGTTTAGTCTGTGAGATCTTGCGTTTCCGAAGGACTGAGTTCTCTGCCACTGCGCTCCTCTGTCCGACCTGCGGGTTCTGATCACGCCAGTTCTCACTGACAAAAACCCTGAACCCCACAGCGAGCGTGCGAGTTGAAACCCTGACGCTCGGAGCCCTAAGCAAGTCGACCCCTCTCACCCCGATGTCTGGATCCGATTTTGAGCAGGAGTTGGCTGCCCAGATGGTCACAGTTACAGCGTGAAGCTGATAAGTCGCAGGAGGGATAGGCATGGTCTCCTGAGCGCGGGCATCCCGGGTTCTGGGTTGCAGGACGTGTAGATATACTCGGAGACATATGCATACACCGTACCGTCTGTCAACATATCCACATATCCAAAACTTAGTCAAAGAAAACTGAGCCTCTAATCATGAGTGCTCGTGTGAAATAATGTGTGTATATGTATATATATATATATATGTAAGTCAGTATCGATTGAAAATGCACTATGTTACAAAATTTTCTGGGCTGAATATGGATGTTTAGTTTATGGCTACCCGTTCAGCCTGCTCCTGTCTGGAAAAAGCCCGAGAGTCGAGCAATGTCGATGAAGTTCAAGGGTTGCAGATCCTTGTCCTTGGGCGTATATTCTCGGATCCTACACCCCTCAAGTGCAGGCGCTTCGAGGCAAGCGCCTCCATTCTACTTTCACCCTGCTGATGGGCTACACCCTCGTTGCGAATCTAGTGCTGATTTGATCCTCTGACGTTTTACATCGCTACCGAAGCAACGGCACTCTCGGAGGGCACGGCTGTCAGGTCATCTGTATAACAGTTGAGACGCTCATTGCTGGCATGCCGAATCGTGTCCAAGTGAGCCTTGAATCCCTGAACTTCGACGAAGGACCGCACCGCATTCTATCTTCGCGCCTCGAAGTGATGCCGCGCTTGGGAAGTGCAGTACCCATAGCAAGTCAAGCACGTACAGGAATTCATGAAAGCTTCGTGACTAATCAGATCATGTCAATATACTCATTTGCAAAGCGATTTGTAGGCCGCTGAAGATAATGGGCCAGGAAGACTTCGATTAGCAAAACATACATTTCGCTAGCTTTTCGTCCTTGAGTGCACCGCACTGCAGCTTCAAAAGAGACTTGCCACTGCACGTGACGCTTCGGGGCGGGGCAGCCAAGGACTATCATGGCAGCGGTGGTAGTTGAGTCATGTTTGCTTTTGTGATGACACCGGGGGGGGGGGGCGGGGCAGCCCAAAAACCGTCCACAGTGCCAGTGCTGTTGGCCAAGTTGCTTCTACATGCGTTTAGCTCATGAGTTGGCGCGGACTTCAGAGTCTTTCTCCCGCATTTGCCCGCGTGCATGGTCGCGCTTTGGGCTCTAGCGTCAAATGCAGGTTCTGCAAATTTCCATTGCATTACGACGAGATGTTCACCGAACGAGTCTTCCGAGAGTTCCAGCCGGTTCACGACACTGGCAACGGTGCCACAGTAAGTACACTTCCAGCGTGTGAATACAATGTCGGCCTACGGCAGCTTGGTTCGCATGGCTCAATTTGGCACATGCCGCAAGAGGTTTATCAAGCTACCTGGAGTGTGAGTTGATTCAGAACTGAGGTCACTAGCCCTTATGGATGGTCCCATCGAGAAACTGAATGTTGAGTCATTGTTCTAGCATGATTTGAAAGGGCTGTTGGCCAACTTGTGCCTCAGTTTGGTGTCGCGCGACAGTTGAAGAGGAATTGTTTCGGAAATTTTCATGGCGGTATGCCGTGCGAAGCCATAGGCCACTATGCAGTAGCTGTCCGGCGAGCTCCGAGCTTTCTTTAGGCTTACGGCTGATCAATAACAACGCGACTCCCGGCGGGTGCTCGGCCCAGATTCGGGTCACGTCATTGCTCCAAAGTCGGAACATGTCTTTCTGTTTAAGTTGACAAGGTTTGACACGTATGGGTGGCATGCACCGAGACAACACATTTAATGAAGCCCGAGTGCTGCACCGCGAAATACTCCAGCCCTGGTCGCCAGGAACGGCCGGGACTTCATCGTTTTCGGCGATGAAACCTTCAGACGGGGAAAGGCGACCATTGTTCTTGATGCGAGATCTGGTGTGATGTGCAACCTGAGGCTGCCTTCAGTGTTATTGCAGCAGTCACACAGGATGCGTCACAAAGCAAACTGAATGTGTCTTCGGACTTCGGCCTGCGTAGAGGGACTGGGACTTCGGGTTGTTGTTGATGGCGGGTCACGTTCTCGAGCTATTGCCACAGCAACTCTTCGAGCTGCAGCATACGAAGAAAGAAGGTTCTAAGTTTCGTCGGGGTCTCAGCCTTTAACCCAAGTTAGAAGTGAAAAACTGCATTGCCTCCATGTTAGACTTGCAGCTCGTTGCACGGTTCGACTCGGCAGCGGCGGGATGCTTCAGCCGAGTGTTACAAGTATTCTTATCAGTCATGATGTTTCTGATGGCGTGGCATCTTAGGAAATGACATCCCTTGCCCGCTCAGCCCCACAAACCGTACTCGTTCTTCAGACACAGTAGAAGATACCCCAAAATCCTAATTAGTAAGGCCCCTATACTAACCCTGAACACTGAACCCCAAAACCCTCAATCGTTACTGTATTTGCCTAGCTTGTCCGAGTGTGAGTGCCGAAACCGCTATTCTATATGAACCACCTCTTCGGAATTAGACTTGGTGAGGCGGAGAGCCCCGCAGTCAGAGGAAGTCCGGCGATGGAGGTGTGTTTGTTTTAGCTGCTTCTTGTGTGCCATATTAGGGTTTAGGGTTTACGGGGGCTGTATGAGCTGTTATAGTACTAGCATTGAGACTGCAGGGTGTATGTACGTATGCACATATTAGATTGATGTATCTTTCGTGTGCGATTTGCAGTTTGTGTTGATGTCGTCGCATTAGGAAGAGACGTATTTCCGAGCCCAGCGACTGGACTCATTCTGACTCACAGTCTGGCTGCTGGATGATTTAGTGTGCTCTTGTTATCGGCACCATGCTCAGATGGTGGACATGTTGGAAGCTGTCCGGTTTCGGGATTAGGTGTGGGAGCGTTGCAAGACCGTGCTTTCAACAGTTCGATCTCAGAACCACTTCTCCCAAATGGCTACACCTCTCTAGCACTAGCTCTTGACCCTTGGAACTCGGAACCCAAAGTTCTACTTCACAGAATCTTCTCGTCTTCGGGGCATTTGCGTGACGCATGTCACCTTGCATCATGTGCTTTCGACCCTTCTTGCATATTTACGCATGATATTACATAACGGAATACATCACTGCGATCGATGTGTATATATATATATATATTTATATATTATATATATTATATATTATATATATATATATGTACATATACATCCGGCAGGTGCTGCGGGCTCGGCGAAAGGCTCGAGCCGCGGAACGGGCTCTTGCAGAGGTGCCTTGGTCGATCGAAGCATTACACCTTCTGGCGCCGCTTAAGAAGCTCTCGGTCGCGGGAGACAGGCTTTATGTAGTTGCGTGGAAAGGTATGCTTTGCCAGCTATAGTTGAATGACTCAAATGTTGTCATGCTGCTTGAAGTTCGGCTGCAGGACAGAACTCGTTGAGACGTTTCGGTTTGCTTGGAAGTCAAGGTTTACGGGTCGTAGAGGACATTCACCTTGGTTCGTCGCGATGTTCGTTCGCTTTCGCAGGTTTGGGTTTCGGGGCTCATGGCCTGGGTTTGCTGTCCAGTTTAGATGGTCTTTATTCGTTGCATGGTGGGATGTATGCAAAGTTGTGACCAGTTGTGGTATGCAGCCAGGAGAAGCTTTCTTCTTGGGCTTTCAGGCGTGAGTGGAGGTTGGGTTATGGTACATGGTTGGTGCTGGGTCTTCAGGTTTTGTTGCTGGTTTCGCTTGCTGACTTCCGTCACCACATTTGTTTCAAGGACCTAGCAGCCCGAACCACCCCCAACATCCCGACCTAAACTCCAACGACCCAACGCCCAAGTCGGGGAGTTTGCCTGGTCTTGCGGCGACGCAGCGAAATGGCGTCGGTGTCTCAGCGTACACTCTACTGCAGATTACTTTGGTTTTGAGGGGTGGGCTTGGGGCCTGCATAGTTGTTTAAGTTGCACTTCTATTCGTCACTTGGACTGCTTGGAGGTTGTAAGGGTTCAGGGTTTGAGGACTTGACGAAACCATTTGGAGTAAGAGTGCCGAATCGTGTGGAAATTCACTGCAGAAAATCGCCACAACCCTCCCGTCCGTGACGTGACGGATTCTTCAGCGCTTCCCCGAGTACGCGTCCTGCTTTAGAATACTTGGGGGGCACTTCCACGATCCCGTGCACATTGAAGCACCCTGACTCGGTCTGAATGAGATCCTTTACCCACACCCCTCAGCCCTTCAACCTCCACCCCTAGCCGTCACAAACAAGAAGTGCAGTGAACATTTTAGTGTTCGTTCTTGGTCTTGTTATGAGCATGATACGGGTAATCCTCTCCAGACCCTATCATGCTTAATTCTGGGACTGGTCCGGTCCCGGAGCCCGAACCTCAAACCCCGAAGATCAGGTTTCGGGTTTGGGGTTTAGGGTTTAGGGTTTAGGGTTTTGGTTGCAGATATAGGATCATAACTTTAGTGAATGTACTATGCCCTTGTTTAGACAAGTCTCGTCCTTCCAACCCAATATGCTTTCTGTGTAGCTGGCAGTTCTCTCAAACTTCAAGAAAACTTTACCTTCAAAAAAGCAAGGCGTCCCAAATGGCAGGATCGGAACGCTAAGCAATATCCCATCAACAACAACTTGTGACTCCCTTTTTTTTCTTCGCACCGAGTCCGGGCGCCTGGGACCAGGCCATCCGAAGTCGGAAGTCCTTGTGGCACGACTTTTTCACTAGAGACATTAGGGAGTTTGCCTTATTTGCGCGATGCTTCAAGACAGAAATCTTTGTGACGGTGCATGGCATTCAGATTGGCGTTGCCTCCTAGCGGAGTAAGGCTTCTAGCTGCGAGGCAAGGTGCGGCCATGTCAGGCAAGTGCAGCTTTCAAACCGTCGTGTCGTCCGTGCTTGAAAAGTTGTTGCTTCTGATTGTTCGCAGGTTACGTTGTCGTGGAGAGGGGACAGCGGACGGGTGGTAGTTGGAAAATTCGTTTTGCTACTCTATAGCAGACCCATCGTTACTCGCAGCGGTGTAGCGGGTGGTTTCAACTTGTGGTGTGCGTTCTTACGGTTCATGTTATCCTCAAGCAAGGCAGACATCAACACGCAGAGAGACATCGGCGCATGGACTCGCAAACACACGTAGGCCAAGAGCACAGAAGCAGGGAGACAGAGACAGATCAGACAGACCGTCCTACCAGGATGGCCCATGGGCTCAGAGTCAGACAGGTAGGAGAAGATGAAGAGGCAGAGAAGGGCAGGCAAGCCAATTTATCGTGTCTCGCATGAACCCGGAAACCGACAGTCCCATTCCTGAAAGAACCTCGAAGTTGGTTTGAGATGACAAATTTGTCGGCACAGAAGTTCATGGTAAGAGGTTCTGGGAGATCTTCCGCCTGAAGAGTTGTGAGTAGTCTTGCTACCTTTCCCTCGGTGTGATCAAAGCTAACTCGTTCTCACGGAGCCCCAAATACGGAAGTGGTAGGCCAAACATGTCGCGGAGATATTGGTGCCAATTCTTGATTTTTGTTGCCTGAGAGTTTTCTCGACAGGTTTGGCAGTGATTCAAAAATGGAATCGTGATAGCCTGAGATTGCACGCCTTGGGCCTTGCAGAAAGACGACGATCTGGCAGTGGGGCGGAGCAACGGTTCAGGGGGTTGGGGTTTAGCGTATTTGGATCAACCTGATTCGTCTTGCAAGCTACAGTGATACATCCTAAAATGAGTCCCTATTCTCCAACCCGACGCCGAAGCACGAAACGTCCTTAGCCCAGGGATTCACACCATGG